GGGTTTTTGCGGGGGGGGGGGGGCGCGGGGCGGGGCGGCACTGGCGTGTGAGCGGGGCGTGGTGGCTGCCCGGGAGCAGCGAGGTGGCAAACGCCGCTCTGCGGCTGCAGGCGCGGCGGCGGCCCGCAGCGCCGCTCCATTGCGCCGCCCAGCCCGCCGCATCGGAAACGGCGGCGGCAGCGGCGCGGCGGCAACCGCAGGGACGCGCCAGCCAGCACCAGCCAGCACCAGCCAGCACCGGCGGCGGCGGCGGAGGGCGGCGGCGCGCCTGGTACGCCAGCCCCGCCACCCCCACGCCGTTGCCCAGCGCGGCGGCGATGCCAGCCACGTGCGTGCCGTGGTACTGCCTGCGCGGCGTGGGCAGACAGGGGGAGAGGGCGGGGGCGGCGGGGCCACGGCTGTGCGTGGGGTGAGGGGCCGCGGCGTGCGCACACGTGCCGGCGGGCAGCCGTGCGGCGCCAGCGGTGCCGCAGCCGCGCAGCTGCCATGCAGCTGGCCACACCCGGCTGGCATCGCCCTAAACCCTAAACCCTCGCAGCCGGGCGCCACCACTCACCGGTCCTCCCAGTCGTTAAAATCTGGGTCGCCCTGGCGGGGCATGCGCTCCGCCCACTCCCCAGGATACTGCCGCCACACCGCGTTCCAGCCCTCGGCGGCTGCAGGGGGGAGGGATAGAGGAGGGTCGGGCGGGGTGAGGGCGCGTGGGCGGGCAGGGAAGAGCATGGGGGGCCTCGGCGGGAGAGGCGGCGGCGCGAGGGGCGGCGGCGGCGGCCGCTCCGCCGCGCAGGCAGGCCGGGGGCAGCGCAACCCGACCTCGACCCAGACCCGCCAGGCAGCCAGCCAGGCAGCCCAGCAGGCGGCAGCCAGCCCGACGCGGCTCACGTTGCGGCAGGTCTGGGTGCCCTCGCTGCATGCCGCTGTCGATGATGCACAGCCGGGCCGGGCCCGCGCCCCTGGCCAGCGCCCAGGCGTGGGAGGAGTCTATGGTGGGGTGGTGCCACTGGTCGGGGAAGCGCGGGTCGTTGGGCACGACGGCGCCGCCACCGCCCTGCGCCAGGCGGCGCGTCGCGCCACGGCGCCCCCCCGCCGCCGCCGCACCGCGCGCGGCCACGTCCGCCCGCGCCGCCGCGGCGTCCTCTGCGGCTGCCGCGGAGCCGGGGGGCAGTACCGCAGGATAGAGGCGCATGTCGGGGCTGGCCCAGGCGACTTGCGACAGCGCCCGCATCTGTGCCACCTTGGCGGCCACGCTGCTGCCGTCCAGGATCTTGTACACGGCGGCGGCGGCAGCCCCCTGGCTGGCGGCCGCCAGGCCGCGCCGCCGCGCGGCGCCGCCGCCGCCCGCCGCGCCGCCGCGCGCCAGCAGCGGCTGCACCAGCGCCAGCCCCGGCAGCCCGGCAGCGCCGGCCGCGGAAGCCTGCATCTCGCCGTCGCCGCCCGCCATCGCCGCCGCCACCGCCCAGGGCTTGAGCTTGACGATGATGTGGTCGCGGGCCCACCGCACGCCCTGCAAGAGGGGCAAAGAAGGGGGGTTGGGCGGCAGGGGAGGCACAGAAGCGAAGCTGGGCGGTGGTGCCCTGTCGGTGATACGGGCTCCGACTCCCGAGGCCGATTCACAGCCGCTGGGAAAGTCAGCAAGCCATGTATCCAACAGGACTTGCAGCTGCCAGGCAAGCACTGGTTCTGGTTCAGGGGGTGCTGCCCACCTCGGGGGAGAAGGAGGCGCGGCCGCCAGCGGGGTCGGCAGCGGCGCCGGCCAGCGGCACCAGGCAGGCCGCGGCCAGGCAGCACAGCGCCGCTACGGTGCCCGTGCACACCCTGCGGACCGCAAAGGCCCGGCCCTGACGCTGCCGCGGCATCGCCGCTGGTCGGAGCTGCCCGCGGCCAGCCGGACGCGGCCCCAGGCTGCCTGTCAGTGCACTGCGCTCAGTGGTGGCGCTGGCATCTGCTGCACAACCTGCTGATTGTGTGGGTGTAGGGCGGTGTGCCTTGGCACCGATGCAAGGAGTAAGTGACTGCCGGCTGTCGTCAAGGTGCACACCTTTCTGTAGAATATGGCCCACTGGATGCAATTTAGAGAAACAACCAAGTTTGAACAGCAGCTTCGCCCCGTCCTTCCCCAGCAGCTCCAAACGGCGCCGCCGCTGCACCCGCTGGGTGCGAGAGGCGCACCTGCAGCCATCCTCCACAGTAATGGCAACGTGAGTCCGCCTACTCACACATTGAAACATTTTGACGATTACACTCTGATTAAACACACAAGCTACTCGTTGGGGCCTAGTGCCGGACAAAATGCGCAGCGGCGGTGGCAGCGGGCCAGGGCAGCCACCTATCGGCTGCGGGCACGGGCAGGGCAAACAAAATGCATGCGGCCAGGCCACATATGTGCGGTCTGCCGCGGCGATGCAAGTCCAGAGCGGGGACGAGTGGGGTACAGTGTATACATGGAAACGGGCTGTCGAGGGATAGGTTTCGGGAAGTTCGCGAGGGGGGCAGGTGGGTCGCGAGATGGGCGGGGAGCCCTGATGGAAGGAGCCCTTCCAATCAATCGTCAAACTGGTCGTCATTGTCGTTGTCATCAAACATATCGTCATTGTCATCAAACCGGCCATCGAAGCTGAAGAAAGGAGGGGCGGAGGGGCGGGGATGGCGAGCTGGGTTGGCATGAAATTAGCAGCCAAGCATGCGGCAGAGGAGCAGCTAAGCAGCGAGCACAGCCAAGACCACCCAGGCAGGCGGCGGAACGGGCAGCCAAAGAGCGGGCGATGCAGCCACAAGCGCCCAAGCAAGCTGCGGGGCGCACTGGTCGAAGGTGTCGTCAAGCTTGTCCTCAACATTATCCTGCGGGAAGTCAGGGGGGACGGTGTGTTTGATGATGGAGCGCAAGCTTGCGATCATTTCATTGTTTTGGAATTTGTTTTCGGTGCCGCACGCACCAGCTTGTCCTCCAGCACATCATCAACATCGCTGTTGTCATCCACAAGGTCCTCCTGAAAGCAGGGACAGAAGGGACACAAACACATGATTTGCAACAACACCGGCCAGCGCCCTGCAGCTGTGTGCACATGTCCCCATGACAGCAAGACCCACCAGGTCGTTGCCCACATACACGCCATCCACATACACGCCGTCCACATCGTTCATAGCCTATTATAGCCTATTATAGCCTATTATAGCCAACAGTAGCCCACCCGTCCGCTCACAGAGAGCCATCGCGCCGGCCTCGCGCCGATCACCCCCACACCCCCACCCTCCACACTCACCCACCCACCCATCAGCATGTCAAGCAGCGAGGGAGCCAGCCTTGGGCAGCGCAGCCAGCAGCCGATCAGCAACCCGGCCTCCCGGGCATCCCTGCGGCCCGATTTCCCCCATATCGTGGTCAAGGGGCTCGCTCTGGAGGCCGGTGGGGGCCTGGGGGCCGCAGTCGCAGCCTTCGTTTTGTTTTGCCGGGCCAGCCTTCACCTGCCAGTGCCTGACTGTGTGCCTGTGA